TAGTAGTAGTAGTGGAGGTAGTAGTAGTAGTAGTAGTAGTAGTAGTAGTAGTAGTTGTAGTGCTAGCAATAATACCATCCGTACACTAATAGGGAAAGCAGTAGTAAACGTAGTAGTAGTAGTAGAAGTAATAATGGTAGTAGTAGACGTAGTAGTAGTAGTACTTGAAACTGTGGTAGTATTAGTCACCGTAGCAGTAGTAGCAGTAGTGCGAGTAGTAGTGGTGATGGCAGGTGTTAGCAATCGTGGTAGTCGTCGTCACCGTACTAGTCGTAGTCGTAATCGTAGTAGTAGTGATAGTAGTAGCACTTAAAGAATGGGAGTCGTAGTAATAGCAGTAGTGGCAATGGTGTAGTAGCAGTAGCATCGTGGTAGTCGTAGTAACAGTGGGAGTAGCACTTATAGAATTAGTAACTGTTTTAGTAGCAGTAGTAGTCGTAGTAGCATGTGTGGTAGTTGCTGTAGTGCTGCGAGTATGAGTAACAGTAATACATAGTCCGTGGTCTCCTGTACGCAAGGCGGCAGGCGTAGAAAGAAGCACGTACTACGTAGTACGTAATAGTTCTCCGCTGCACGAAGCATTACGTAGGAGTGGTAAAATTTTAAAGTACTAGCTGCAATACAAATAGTACGTAGTAGTACTAGTAGTAGTAGTAGTAGTAGTAGTAGTAGTAGTAGAAGTAGTAGTAGTAGTAGTAGTAGTAGTAGTAGTAGTAGAAGTCGTCGTACGAATAGTAATACTAATCGCAGCAGTAGTTGCAGTAATCGTCGTAGTAGTAGTAGTAGTAGTAGTAGTACAAATGCTACTAGTAGTACTATAAGTATTAGTGGTAGAAACAGTAGTAATGGAAGTAGTAGTAGCAGTGAAAGCCATAAGATTTGCAGTCGTAAAAATAATCATCATAATAATAAAAGTACTAGTAGTAGTAGCAGCAGTAGTAGTAGTAGTAGTGGTGGTAGTGGTAATGGTAGTAGTGATAGTAGTAGTAGTCATCGTCGTAGTAGCAGTAGTAGTAGTCGTAGCAGCGGTAATAATACGAATAGTAGTAGTACTAGAAGTAGTAGTAACAGTAGTAGCCGTGGCAGTAGTAGAAGCAGTAGTAGTAGTAGTAGTAGTAGTAGTGGTAGTAGTAGTAGTAGTAGTAGTAGTAGTAGTGGTAGTAGTAATAGTAGCAGTAGTCGTAGTAGTAGTTGTCGTTGTACTTTCAGTTGTTGCTGCTGTACTAGAAGCAGTAGCATCGGCAGTCACATCCCTCACATTCCTCATCCCCCTGCCCAAGACGGCCACAGCACCACCAAGAGAACCACAAGGTCGTTGTCTTCGTCGTCGTCGTGGTCTTCATCGTCGCCATCGTCGGCGGTGGCGACAGACAGACAGACAGGGAGACAGAAAGGGCGATGACGACGACAGGGGCGCACAGGAGCACCACAACGACTGCGTCCTCGTCCTCCTCCTCCTCCTCCTCATCCTCCTCCTGCTGCCCCCCTCCCTTTCCTGCTACACTCCTCCTCCCCTGCGTCGGCTGCGTCGCGTTGCGTTGCGTTGCGCCTGGGGGGGAAGGGAAGGTCCGTTGCATTGCGATGCGTTGCGCCGTCAACAACAACGACAACAACAGCAACAACCACAACAACATGGTCAACAACAAGAAGAACAAAAACAACAACACATACAAAAAATATGCCCCCCCCCAAAAAAAAAACAAAAAAAACGACAACGGTAACAGCAACAACAGCAGCAACAACAACAACCACAACATCAGCAACAACAGCATTATGATCCTCATCATCAGCATCAGCATCAGCATCAGCATGAGTATCGGTATCGTCATCATCAGCAGCAGCAGCATCGTCATCATCATAATCGTCGTCTGCGTCGTCGTTATTATCGTGATCGCAACCTCCTCATCATCATCACCATCAGCAACAGCATCCTAATCAGCATCATCATCATCACCACCATCATCATCATCATCATCGACATCAGCATCATCATCCCCGTCGTCAGAAAAGGTGTCCTCATTGTGCTGATACTCCTCGCATCACTCGTTCTCGTGTTCCTATTCGTCCTATCCTTCTCGAACATTCCTCCTGCTCCCCCCCATCTCCTGTTCTGTTCTGCGCAGCTGCAATGATGACCCCATTGAGGGGAACAGCTCCGAACGCTACTCGATCGACTATACACTGCTCTGCACAATGTTCGGAACATGTGGCCAAGGCTCAGTGCAATGCGTGACAGCAGCAGCAGCAGCGGCAGGGAGAGGAAGCAGACGGCGAAGAGAGACGGAGAAAGGAACCCAAACTCGAGCAAGAGAGCAGCAAGGAGGAGGCAGGAAAGCGAGCGATAGAGGAGGCTGCACAGCCATCTCCTCATCATCTTGCTCTTCCTCTCTCCGAGCACCCTCGCGTCCTCTTCATCCGCCCCCTGGTCGGGCGCCTGAGAGCACCCAGCGGTGCCTGGACTCACCTCCGCCGGTCGCGGTCGCGATCTCTGTCGCGGTCCCTGCCGCGAGGCGAGGCGCGGCGGTGAGGGGAGGAGGGAGTGGCAGAAGGGGGGGGGCGGAGGAAGGAGGCGAGGGGGGAGGGGGAGGCATAGGGGAAGGGGGAGACAGAATGTGGAAGGCGAAGGGGGGGGTACAGGGAGAGTGAGGAGGAGGGGAAGGGGGAGGGGGAGGCGAGAGGGATGGGGAGGGTGTCATAAGTGGGAAGGGGAGGCGGAGCGGAGACGACAGAGTCCCATTAGAGCGCCGTGGGCACTCAGGCCCAAGTGTGCCTACGCGGCAGCGGGCCACACGGCCGTCGAGCGAAACTCCTCCTCCTCCTCCTCCTTCAGAGGCGGCGGGAGGAGAGAGGGAGAAGTCTTCAGATCGCACAGTTGGCACAGAAAGACTTGAGCGGAGGCCGTGGAGGAGCAGCAGGAGCGGGAGCGGGAGGGGAGGCGGGGAAGACCTGAACAAGGGGGGGTCTCTGGCCAGCGCCACGCCGTTCCCGCCTCCAGACCTGATGCTGATAGGCCACAACAGGACCCACCCACCTTCGAGGACGAGAAGGAGGAGAAGGCGTCGGAGGAGGAGGGTGAGGAGCAGGATGGCGCAGGAAGGAAGAGGGAGGAGTATTCTTCCCTCCTCCTCTATTCCTTTACCTTATAGGTAACTCCTACCTCTCGCACCCCGAAGCCGGTCGAAAAGGCGGGCCAGACGTTTCGCCTGAGACTTCCTCACCGCTTGTGACCCTGATGCTTAAAATTGGCAACAGTGTCACGTATGGAGGGAGGGTGGTTTTCAGAATGTGGCTCGCGCCTTAGCGCCGCGCATACTCACGTCAAACATTTGCAAGGGCTTCACGGATGGAGTGCGGGTGGTTTTCATGACGTGGCTCTCGACTTAGCGCCGCGCACATTCGTTTAGAAAATGTGTAAGAGCTTCACGGATCGAGGGCGGGTGGTGTTCTCGCCTTAGCGCCGCGCACATTAATGTCACAAATGCGCAACAGCTTCACGGATTGAGGGCGGGTGTTTTCAAAATGTGGTCCTCGCTTTAGCGTCGCGCACATTCGGAAAAAGTGTGCAAGAAATTAACTGCTTCTCATGGCGAACGTCGAACGTACCATAAATGGCGCTTAGGAAAATCAAGCCTGTCAGGGCGCAAAGATACGTTGATTCGCGGTGTTGAAGTCCCAGGAATGGCGTTTGGGTGCGATTCATGATCGCCGAGACGTGGCAGTCAGGTTAATTCATGGCGTTGAAATCCTGAGACTGGTGTTTGGGCACTTCAAGATGTTCACACGGTTGCCGTGGAAATGACCCCTTTTGTAAGGGCCTATCACGAGTGATTCTGGAGTAAGGGTGCATTCCAACCTCGTTGATGAGTCCTGGGTTTACACTGGTCCTCCTCCTCATCCTCCTCCTCCATCCTCCATCCTCCATCCTCCATCCTCAATCGTCCATCCTCCATCCTCCATCCTCCTTCCTCGTTCTTCTCTCCTCCAACCTCTATCCTCCATCCTCCATCCTCCATCCTCCTCCTCCTCCTCCTCCTCCTCCTCCTCCTCCTCCTCCTCCTCCTCCTCCTCCTCTTCCCTTCCTCCTCCTCCTTCTTCCCTACTCCTCCCTCCTCTTCCTCCTCGCCTCCTCCTCCTTTCCTCCCCCTCCTCTCCCTCCTCCCCTCCTCTTCTCTCCTCCCTCGTCCTCCTCCTCCTCGGCCTGCTCCTCCCTCCCTCCTGCCCTCCTCCTCCTCCCCTCCTCCTCCTTGCATTCTCCGCCCGCCCTCCTTCCTTCCCTCCCTCCCTCCATCCCTCCCTCCCCTCCCCCCTCCCTCTCTCCCCCCTCCCTCCGCCCCTCCTCCGCCCTCCTCCGCCCTCCCCTCCCTACCCGGCCCTCTCCTGCACCGCCTCCCCCTCCTTCCCCCCTCCTCCGCCTCCTCGCCCTCCGCCTCCGCCCTCCTCCGCCCTCCTCCCCTCCTCCGCCCTCCCCCGTCCTCCCACGCCCTCCTCCGCCCGCCTCCGCCCTCCTCGCGGCACCTCCTCCCGCCGTCTTCCGCCCTATTCCGCTCTCCTCCCTCGTCTTCCTATCCTCCCTCTCCTCCCTCTCCTCATCTCCTCCCTCTCCTCCCTATCCTCCCTCTCCTCCCTCTCCTCCATCTCCTCCCTCTCCTCCCTCTCCTCCCTCTTCTCCTTCTCCGTCTTCTCCTCCCTTCTCCTCCTTCTCTTCCTTCCTCCCTCTCCTCCGTCTCCTCCCTCTCATCCCTGACTCTCTCCTTCTCTCCATCTCCTCCATCTCCTCTCTTTTTTCTCTCTCTCTCTCTCTCCTCCTCTCTCTCTTCTCTCTCTCTCTCTCCTCTCCTCTCTCTCTCCTCTCTCTCTCTCTCTCTCTCTCTCTCCTCCCTCTCCTCCCTCTCCTCTCCTCTCTCTCCTCCCTGTCATCCCTGTCCCCCCTCCTCCCTATACAACACACTATGAATACGGCTTTCCGATCTCGCCTGATGACGTCCGGAAGATATTCGGCACACCTCCGCGTACTGATGTTTTACACCGGATTCCCGGGAGTTGGGTGTTCCCTTGGGTTTGTTTCCAAAATGGCTGAAGCGCTGGCCTCATTTCCGCGCTTCCGCTCGTTCCGAATCGTGCTCCCACTGCAGCGCTGGCCTAATTTTCGCGCTGCTGCTCGTTCCAATTGTGCTCCCGCTGCAGCGCTGGCCTCATTTTCGCGCTTCTGCTCGTTCCGAACCGTGCTCCCGCTGCAGCGCTGGCGTCATTATATGTCATTATTACCAGTGCCATGCCACGGCATGCAATGCAAGGCTATGTGGTGTTCTGCTGTGCGATGCCATGCCTTCAGCTGCAATACTAGGATCTGCAGTGCTTGACTACGCAGTGCCACGCCATGCTATGCCATGTTACGCTTTGATCTTCAACGCCATGCTATGCCATGTTCTGCTCTGTGCCGCTGTGCGATGCCATCCTATGCGTTGCAGCGATTTGCGATGCAAATCTTCACTACGCTACGCCACGCCATGTTATGATATGCTACGCTCTGTCGTGCTCTTCTACGCCCTGCTATGCCGTGCTCTATGATGCATCGCGCACCCTCACGGGATCATTACCTGCTCGACACACCTGACTGTGCGAATAGAGAGGAGATCTACGCCAAAGTAAGGCATGGGAGAAAAGGGGCAGGACGTCAGATATGACGCTAGCGCACCTAGCGTGCTTCCCTCTCCTTCCTCTCCTCCCTCTCCTCCCTCTCCTCTCTCTCAGCCCTCTCCCCCTTCTCCTCCATATCCTCCCTTTCCTCCCTCTCCTCCATCTCCTGCCTCTCCTCTCTCTCCTCCCTCTCCTCCCTCTCCTCCATCCCCTCCCTCTCCTCCGCCTCCTGCCTCTCAGCCCTCTCATCCCTCTCCTCACTCTCCTCCCTGTCCTCCCTCTCCTCCCTCACCTCCCTTTCATCCCTCTCCTCCCTCTCCTCCTCCTCCTCCAACCTCTCCTCCCTCTCCTCCGCCTCCTCCGCCTCCTCCGCCTCCTCCACTTCCTCATCCTCCTACATCCTTTTCTCCTCCTCCTCCTCCCTCTCCTCCCGTCCTCACTCGTCCTCCTCCTCTCCTCCTCCTCCTCCTCCTCCCCTCCTCCTCCCCTCCTCCTCCTCCTCCTCCTGCCTCCTCTCCTCTTCCCCCCCTCTCCTCCTCCTCCTGCCGCCTCCTCCGCCACCCAACCCTCCGCCCTGCCGCCCCGCCTCCGCCCGCCTCCTCCGCCTCCTCCGCCTCCTCCGCCTCCTCCTCCCCCTCCTCCTCCTCCTCCTCCGCCTCTTCCTCCTGCTCCTCCTCCTCCTCCTCCTCCTCCTCCTCCTCTTCCTCCTCCTCCTCCTCAGATGCATCCTACTCATCAAAATCATCATCATCGTCATCATCATAATCATCATCATCATCATCATCATCATCATCATCAGCAGCAGCAGCAGCAGCAGCATATTCATATTCATATTATTCATCATCATCATCATCAGCATCATCATCATCAGCAGCATCAGCATCATCATCATCATCATCATCATCATCATCAGCATCATCATCATCATCATCAGCAGCATCATCATCGTCATCATCATCATCATCCTCATCGTCATCGTCATTATCAGCAGCAGCATCATCATCCTCATCCTGCGTCTCACCCGCATCCTCATAGTATTCCTCCTCCTATTACACCCCCTCTTCTTATTAATAGCATTCGTTGTCTTAGCAGTCGTCATTCTTAATAGTATTACTATAGACAGCCATAGTCATAGCATTAGTTGTATTATGAATGGTAGCCGTCGCACTGTTAGTGTGAATAGTATTGTTTGTATAATTACTGACAACCTTACTAGTTTGGTAGTATTACTATTAGTTTTGATTCGTGGTTAGTACTAGTATCAGTAATAGTTGCATGTTGATTAGTAGGAGTAGAAGTAGGTGTAGTAGTAGTAGTAGTAGTTGCAGTAGTAGTAGTAGTAGTAGTAGTAGTAGTAGTCGTAGTAGTAGTAGTAGTAGTAGTAGTAGTCGTCGTAGTAGTAGTAGTAGTCGTAGTAGTAGTAGTAGTAGTAGTAATAGTAGTAGTATTAATAGGTAGTATAAGTAGTAGTAGTAGTAGTAGTCGTAGTAGTAGTAGTAGTAGTAGTAGTAGTAGTAGTAGTAGTAGTAGTAGTAGTAGTAGTAGTAGTAGTAGTAGTAGTAGTAGTAGTAGTAGTAGTAGTAGTAGTAGTAGTAGTAGTAGTAGTAGTAGTAGTAGTAGTAGTAGTAGTAGTAGTGGTAGTAGCAGTAGCAGTAGTAGCAGTAGTTAGTAATAGTTAGTAGTAGTAGTGGCAGTAGTAGTAGTAGTAACAGTAGTAGTAGTAGTCGTAGTCGTAGTCGTAGTCGTAGCCGTAGTCGTAGAAGTAGTAGCAGTAGTAGTAGCAGTAGCAGTAGCAGTAGCAGTAGTAGTAGTAGTAGTAATAATAGTAGTAGCAGTAGTAGTAGCAGGAGTAGGAGTAGGAGT